CTTCTGTTCTCTCCCTATTTCCTGGCCTGCAGAAAAGGCACTGTGCATGGCCAGAGGGCTCAGACACAGCCTTCACCTTCATGCCTGGCTTTCAGGCCCCTCCTCTAGCAAGTGACACTGTGGGGAGAGAAGCCCCTTGCAAAAGAAGTAAATATGTAAGAGAGAGTCAGAAGCTAAGCCTAAGTGGGAGGAAACAAGAAACCTCTCCCTCAGAATGGGGGACTTCTCCTGGCCCAACCCACTGCAGGTGCTCCAGGCTGTGTCACCAGGCAGCACCAGGGCTCTGTAGACTGTCCCCCACCTCTTGGCCCTGCCTGTCATGCTGGCAGATCTTACTGAAGCAACCTCACATGGTCACATGGTCACGTCCTCGAGACCTCAGGTCCTCCTGATCATGTCTAAAGGTACAGAGAGAGGGGCTGGCCTCTCCTCAGGCAGCATTTTCCAGTCAACACAGCAAATATTTCCAGGGTCCAACCACAGACTTCCCTTTTTAGGAGAGGCCCAGCCACGATTGTGCCCTGCTCTTATTTCTTAGCTTTAAGGCTGGCAGGAAAAGTTGAGTGTGTTTCACGAAGTCAAGCTCAAGGTCTTACAAGAGTTTTAGATTTTGTAAAAGAATTGGACAGATTTATGCGTGTTAGAAGCCGATTCATTAGAAGTGTGTTGATTATATGGTTTTAAACTCCAGATAAGCCATAGGAATGCCCTACATAAAGCATTGCACTGAGTGTGCAATGTAATCACTGTCTTTGATTATGATTATATGTTTTTTAAAATGTTAAAAATTATTAGGCACATGGATGAATTATGTTGCCTAGGCACTGGTTTATCTCTGTGAATTTTGAATAGCATTTTTATATTTGGGTTATCACGTTGAATTGTCCTAAAAGAAATTAGTTTCAGCTTACCAAACCACCACTCATGACTGCATGTTTATTTGCACAAGGAGAACTGAATCTGAATATAATCAGTTAGGTACGAAATCAGTTTTATTAAGCTGGACTTCAGAAAGGGGCATTTTATATTCTTGTTTCATCATAACTGATTTTGTTTTTTGCAGAATTAACTAAGAATCACTAGCTACTGAAGTAAACTGTACTGATTCCATAATACATAACATTCAATTTTTATCACTTCTCTCTGGCAAACTTGTATACTTATTTTTTGTTCAGATTAAACAAAATCAGATACCCTGAAAAAAAAAAAATTGAATGTGTTTCAGCTCAGTCGGTCCTCCCTGCAAAACAAGGGCCACTGATTTCCCTCTGGTCGCCCTTCATATCACTCTCCATCCTTCCCTCCCTCTTCCTGCTCCCAGGCCTTGCAGGCTGATGTCCGCACCATGCTTTCCTCTTGGACTTTAGACTGAGTTCAGGACCAAGAGGAGATGGGAGGAATGGGGAGAGAAATTGGGGTTGTTCTTCCTTACTGAAGGCCACATCCTTTTCCCCAGGCCCATAAAAACCTAGCTGTTTATTACCTTCTGCAGTATTGATTTATCTTTCCTATTTAGATTCCACCTGGAATTCATTTTAATTGTGAAAATTTCCAAATGTATTGAAAAGTTAAAAAGAGTTTAATAAATATCAGCAGCCTTCAGCTACATTTTGCCATAGTTCAATATATAAAATAATAATATAAATAATTCATTGAGTTGTATAATGTTAGATTTTTTTCCTGAACCATTCGAACATGTTAAACATGTTGTATTTCACTCCTAAATACTTCAATGTGCATCTCCTAATGGTAAAACATTCTCCTACCTAACAGCCTAAAGCTAACATTAACTCAGTAATACCACCCAGTTACGTTTTTTGCTTAAAAGATACTTTGTTGATAATCCAACATTTAATAGTGCTTTGCTGCTGACAAAGGACTTTCACTATTATTTCATTTAATACCTGCAATAGTCTCCTGAAATAGCTCTCTCTCTCTCTTTCTCACTCTTGTCCTGGAGATTTAAACCCAGGGCCTTATCACAGAGCTACATCCCCACTTTAAAATTTATTTATTTGCCATTTGAGACAGGGTCTTGCTAAGTCACTAAGTTGCCCAAAGATGGCCTTGAACTCGTAATCCTCCTGTCTCAGCTTCCTAGAATGCTGGGGTTACAGGCATGTGACACCATTCCCAGCTTCATCTCTCTGTTACAGATGAGGAAAGTAAGAATCAGAGAGTAAGTGATCTACAAAGAGCACACAGCTGGTAAGAACCATGACTGGGATTCAAAGGCAGCCCTGCCATCTCCACATTCCACACACCTGGTCTGATGTGATAGTTCAATCTTCCCAAAGAATTGGCTTTTCTACACTTTAGGGCCCCTGACATTTTCCTTACCTCTTCCCTCTTTAACCTTTCCACTCATCAAAAACATGAGGCTCCCTTGTCCAGCTTCACCTAGACATAGTGGAGCTGTGCTAGTGATCCACCTGGACCTCTGCTTGCTGAGGAAAATTCAAGGCAACACGCTTGGACATTGCATTTAATTTAAGCGAGCATGATGGATTGCATGGTATTTCTTAAATGCATTAGGCTTAGTTTTCCTTTCATTCCCTGGACCCGGAGAGAAGAAAGCTTCCCACTGCAAACCCTTAGATTCACCCTCCTTGATAGAGAGAATGGGCTTATTCTGCTTCACAAGCACGTGAGACCAAGTGTCCTTGAACCCCCAGAAGGACAAAATCTCTGATTCTCCTTGGCTGCCAGACCTGCCCCCAAGGTCTCTGTGACCGTTCCATTTCCTTCACACAATCGCTGCCCCACTCCAGGCCACCTCGACACTTGCTAGGAAATCACAGCACCCCTCGCCTGGCTCCAAGTAGATTGTTGTGTGTACCATGCTCCAGCCAGATCTCATGGGGTTGCCAGGCCACAGTGCAAGGCACTCTGCCTGGAGCTGTGCAGTACAAGGTGTGCTGTGGCCTTTGCAGCTGCCTTTGGTCTGGCCCATGGTGACTTTGCTCCCCAACCTACCCAAAGTTCAGGCCATGCCAGCCTTGTTTTTCTGCACCAAGTCCAGCTCCCACATGGGCCCCTGAGCTTGCATTCTTCATCTGCAATGCTCTGGGGCCCCTTCCCACCCCAGAGGTATGTACAGGCCTATGCCACCCTGACTCAGCTTGAAGACCAAGCCCTGTGCCCCACGGTTGCATCCCCACAGATGCTTTCCTAGCACCCTACCCTTTGCCTGCATGTCCCCCAGCATCTTCACAGAGTGCTCAGTGGCCCATTCAGTGACTGCATCCTTACAGTGTCTCTGGGGAGCAGAGTGAGACGCAGAGGAGGAATAGCACCCTTAGTCTCCTCGTTACTTAGTGTCAGAACCAAGGCAGGAGTCCAGGTCTTTCTCAGCCTGAGCTGCTGCCCTCACTGCCTTGGGCCATCCTGACAGCACAAGACCCACAGGAGGGATGGTAAGTGCCTTTGCAGCCTCCTGTCTGTTCCACTCTGCACTCTCCTGCATCCATTCACCCATCACCTTCACTATTACCATCACTTACTCATCAGGTATTTATGGAGCATAATAATCCATACCACATTGTACTGACCACAGAGATACAACCATGAGCTAACAGGTTGCTGCCCTCAGGGAGTTGCCACTGGAGTAGATAGGCCAAAAAAATCACACACACACACATATAACAGAACATGTGGTTGTAGCCACAGCAGAGCACCACAAAGGACAGCAGGAAGTAGAATGAAAAAGGAAGCAGAGGGCAGAACTCCCCACGGAACACCAGTCTTTTTTCTTCCTGGCAGAATGCCAGTTGCATTCAGGTGTCCATCCCCTCAAGCCCCTGGCCCAGACCCTCCGGAGAAACCACCCTTGCCCTAGTCCCAGGGGTGGGACTGGAGGAAAATGCCATCTGTTGGCCAGATGCCTCAGGATGAAGCATGGGGCACATTTCAGGCCAGTGCGCAAAGGTAATTCCTCTAGGGAGGCAGGAACTTCTAGGGAAGGTGTCTTGCTTTTCAGAGCCACAAGCCTCTCTTGTACCTCTGGTTGTTGTCATGTCCAGATGTCATGCCTGGAATTGCCACAGCCACTTGCTCCCAAACTCAGGACAAAGCCAACACCATGTTCTAAGCAGAGGTAGGGAAAGAGCTGGGTTCCTAATGCTACCACCAAGCTGCTAGAGCAACCAGGCCTGAAGCCCTGACTCCCTGTCAATGGGAGATTAAGGATTATTAATTTTTCTGCTTTTGTAGCAAAAAAAGCACCAAAACTGACACAGGGACTCAGGTCATAACTGCTTCCCTCACAGCTGAATCCCCAGCTTCTACCACAGACCCTCATCAGTGTGTGGGGGATGCAGGGTGTATCCTACAAGACTTCCCAGGAGCAGGTCTGCAGACCAGGCTTCACATGCACATGTGGGATGAAGGGAATAACCCCAGGGTGTGACCCTGGGGCAGGGGAGAAGAGGGCAGAGAAGTAAAAGGAAGAGGAGGGACCCAAGCAGAGGAGCTTGGGAGCTGGCCTTTCCTGGTCCCCCACACCTTGGTCTCTGGCTGAGGGGTGCCCTACAGGACATAAACAAGAAGGCACCACCCAGCGGAGCACCTGCTTACTATGGAGGCTCAGGGTCAGTGAAGCAGCATAGCAAGCACTGAAGGATGAGGGGATCCACCAGGGTCTGGGCAGGGCCATGGAGTTTGTGCCCATTCCTACACTTAGCTTCGGAGCAAGCAGCCAAGCCTAGGAGCCCCCTGGCCTGCAGACACTTTCACCGCATTCCCCTAGGGCCAGAGGGGTCTTTTCCTTGGCCTGCACAGAATGGCCAAAGGAGCCCCACCTCTTATTGAAATGGGGGGAAAAACCTTTGCATTTCAAAATTATTATTGTACTTCATTATTCATCTACAAATTGTTTTTGGAACACATTGAAAGCCAGATCATAATTTGATGATGAAATATTGATTATTCACCTACATCTCGTATGCAGAGGTCTGTACCACAGAGATAGAATGCCCACCCTGTCATATCTTCTATTTTAGGTCAATATGAAGATGGATGTTCCTCCCAGGCGAATTTTGATAAAATACTTGTGTTGATTAAAAAAAACACTAATCCCAATGCAAGTCAATCCAGGCATATGGGTTTGGGTCGCTGCCCTTCCTGGCAGCAGCCTGCTCCAGGAGGGGTTTCCAAACACCAGCAGCTCCCAGCCAATCATCAATTCTCTTCATTTAAATCGTGTGAGTAGGAAATGTCACAGGAATGCTGGGTTGGCAGGGAGCTGCCCACTCCTGCTCCGAACTGAGAAGGGAATGAAACTAAAGGCAAACACAACTTGTAAACAAATCTGGGAGAAGCTTTATTACCATCATTAGCAGTGTGCATGTCCTCTGCTGCTTCCAAAAAGAATAAAATTAAAACGACAGAAGACTCCATCCTTCTTACGTTCTTGGCATATGGCGGACTGGGTCTCATCCTGACTGTGGGCATCTGCTATGCCTGCCCAGCATATATTGCCACTTGAAACTCCAATCATTAGTACTTCTTTAAAATCTCATTCATTGTCTGCTTTCCCCACCGAAAGGTAAGGCCCAAAGCTCAGGCATTTTTTTTTTTTGCTACCAGGGATTGAACTCAGGTCCTTGCACTTGCGCAGCAGGCGGTGAAACCACTGAGCTAAATCCCCGGCCCAGCTCAGGCATTTTTATAGCTTTCTTCCCCACTGTATTTCCAATGCCTGGAGGTTGAATTAATTTCTCTTCTGCTTCATTCATTCATCCAACACATGAAAAAACTATAGGGCTCTACTGGGTTCCTGGATGCTTCAAAACAGACATTTGAGGGGATTGGGGGGAAATACAGCTAAGAAGTACTGAGAGTAAGTTCAAAAGCTGTAATTGCATTGGGAGAAAGTGGGCAAGGTAAGAAGAAGGACTGGCTGTGCAGATGAGAAAGATTCCAGTTTTAAGTAGGGTGGACAAGGTTGGCCTCACTGAGAAGGTAAGTATGAGCATGACAGGGAAAAGGAATTTCCAGGCACTTGGAACAGCCAGTGCAAATACCCTAGGGCAGGAATATGCCTGTTTTGTCTAAGGAACCGAAAAACAAATAGTTGCTGGAGTGGAGTGAGTAGACTATTTGCACCAGTAAATAAAAATCGATGAATCTGAGGCTTCCAAGGACCCTTTTGCCCCCTCTATGACCACCACACAGAGGAAGCCCATAAAAAGAAAACGCTAAGTGAAGAAAAGTACAGGCCCCTGGATCCAGCCACACCTGAAGCAATTTCTAACCAACACCTTTTAGGTGCTGGAAGTGACAGGGTCCCTTTCTGGAGCCATTTGTAACTGAACAAGTCTTGGTAAAGCATTAAAACTCCTTTGTCTGGGGCTCTTGAGGCACTGCAGCCAGTGTGGTGTCACAATGATGTCTGTGGGCAGGTGCTGGGGCTGTGGGAAGTCCAGCCTCGGAGGGCGAGGCCCGGAATCTCTCTGCGCAGGGGAGGCCTGCGTAGCTGACAAGTGAGAAGGAAACTCTCAATTTTGCAATTTTCAAGTGTCAGAAGGATATTTTATCACTACTCTGACGCCCAGCATCAAAGGCAGATTCTCCTGGTCTTCCATCAACACATCTGCTGTGTGAGGTTGGCCTTTGCACTTGCATGATCCAGAACTCACAGCTGAGAATGAGGACTCCAGGTATCAGCAAGGCCCGTTCGAAGGACTAGACAGACCCTCCTCCAGTTACCAAAAATATCCACACAAAGGTCCAAAAGATTCTGTCCAATTCAACAAGTGCCTCCAGCAGCTGCTCTTCAAGACCCTAGAATGCACAGCTGTCCCCTGAAAAGGCAGGTACAATAATCTAGGGGGCAGGTGCCCCTTTCACTCATCCTAAGCACTATACTAAAGACACTAGGGTCCAGGGCAGAGCCCCCCACCACCAAGAGGAGAAAGACATTCACATATGAGTACTTCCATGTGACTACTCACCCAGTTGTTCATTCAGCAAATGGAGCAGGAATTTCCTATGTGCCCAGGACTGCTGGGGTTCTGACCCAGCAACCAGCAAGATGGGCAAGATCCCAGTTCATGTAGAGCTTTGTCCTATCAAAAAGATAAAGGTGATAAAGTGAAATTAATTGTACAAAGGATAATTTCTGAAATTGGTAAGTGCAAGTAGGAAAACACATCAGAGTATTTCAAAAGAGAGGCACTGGGGAGGGTAGAGCAAGATAGAGACATTGGGGAAGGCTGAACTGAGATCCAAATGAGGAAAAGGACCCCCTTGCAGAGTTGAGGGGAAAATGGGCTCTAGCAGAGGGTGTGGTGGGTCCAAAGGCCCAAGCAAGAACTAGCTCAGCACAACCAAGCACCAGAATCCAGGCTGTGTGGTTGGAGCTCAGTGAGTAGAGGGGAGAGTGAAGGAAGTTGAGTGCAGTTGGGCCAGCCCGGAGGATGCAGGGCCCATCTACCAGCGAGGATCTGGGATCAGATCACCTGTGAGTGATGCTGACATACTCCCACTGGGATATTTCAATGTTCTCTCCTTAACCAGCCACTGGGTACAGACAAGAAATGTGCCAGCAATGCAAAAAGATAAGGAGGGCTCTGTTTTTTCTCAAGATATGAACAATGTCCCTTGTATTTTTTTTAAAGAAGAAGAAAGTTTGCCAACAAGTATGGTTCCAGACAGAAAATAAAGAAGAACCACAATAAAGGAGGGAATGACTCCATCCCCAACACCCAGTGGGCAGCAGCACCAAGGAGGGAGCAGTTGGTTCCAAGTATAGGATGTGAGGAGGGGAGAACAGGATGTACAGAGGCAGGGGACATTGACTACCTGAGATGGGGGAACATGTGGCCTTCTGAGAGGCAGTAGCATGGGATCAGGTGCAGCAAGTGAGCTGGGGGGAATGAGGGAAGAGCCTGAGCTGTTGGAAGGCCTGTATTAAAGGCATGGTTCCCAGTGCAGTACTGTTGGGCACTGGTGGAACTATTGAGAGGTGGGGCCTATTGGGAGGTCCATGAGTCATTGGAGGTGTGGCTTCAAGCCATGAAGTTCTGCCAAATGTTCCCGCCATGTATGATAGCTGCCTTGCCACAGGTCCAAAGCAGCAGGGCCAATTACCCATGGACTGGAACCTCCAAACTGAGTCAAAATAAATCTTTTCTCCTTCTAAGTTAGTTATCTTAGGTATTTTGTTGTAGTAACATGAAGCTCACTGGTGCCTGGCCCTATCAGCTTCTGTCCTCCTGAGAGATCCTCAGTCTTTAGAAGGGGAGGTCTTCCCGGGTCTCTGGTTAGCATCTGAGCTGTACCAGCTACTACACTGAAGGGAGGGGAGGTCCCTAGGTTATAGCAAACCACACACCTGGCCCTGCCCAGCTGCTCCCCTGTCCACAGGTAATTGGAAAATCAAGAAGGAAGTTCATTTCTCTGTAGCAGCTACAAAGAAGAATGTGGGGGAAAAACAGCAGAAAAGGTCAGGTATGTCCTTTATCCACTAAACTCATCAATCAGGAGGAATTGTGCTCTGAGCCTCCCTCAGGAGGAGAGGAAGTCCTCTGCAGTGTCAAGGCCCACAGAGCCACTCCAAAGTGGTCCACAACAAGGGAATGTCCCTGCTCCACCTCCTGCTCCCTGGACCCTTTGGCCGAGCTTTCTAAAAAGAGAGGGCTAGGAGGGGCTGTGCCTCAGAAGTTAAAGGAAAGGCACCTTAATGAGGCATGATGGGGTGACAGTCAAGGGAATGGGCTCTGGACTCAGGAAGATGTCAGTTCAATCCAGACTCCACCACTAATTCGCTGTGTGATCTTGGGCCACTCAGAACCTCTAAGAACCTGTTTCCTTATCTGCATTTCAGGACTGGTGACAGTGAAGATTCCTTGAGGATTAGTTCAATCAGCACCTGGGCTCCCCATGCATATAGCTGTAGTTGTGGCTTTTAACATTGTTTTTTTAACATTATTATTACTGTATCAGCCTTTATGATGACCCTCATTGATCTTTTCATCCTGGTTTTCACACGCTCCCATACTGAATGGGGTTGATTTATATACTAATAGGAAATGGCAGAAATGACATGAGGTGACTTCCAAGGCTGGGTCATGAAGACAGAATTGTGACTTCCCCCTTCCTCTTGGATGACTCACTCTGGGGGAAGCCTGGCATCACATCAGGAGGACACACAAGCTGGCCTATGATAAAGTCCACATGGTGAGACCCTGAGGCCTCCTGCTCAAGCCAACATTAGCTTGTCAGCTATGGGAACACACCATCTTGGAGATGGAGCCTCAGTTCCATCACCTACTAGATGACAGCAGCCCAGCCGACCTCTTGTCTGCAAGCTCATGAGAGCTGAGCAGAACCGCTAGCTCAGCAGCTCCTGAATTCTCAACTCAGAAATGCTGTGAGGTCATGGATGTTTACTTTCTTTCAAGCTACCATGTCTTGTGCTGCTTTGCTATGCATGAGTAGATAATTAGTATAATCATTATTCTGGAACTTTGAAGTGGCCGCTCCTCAGCCAACACTCGTGCAGGCTTCTCCTGCCTTCACGTGGACTGCTTTGCAGAGCCCAAGGGAGGCTAATTCTTTCTACTCCAAGAAACTCTGGATGAGAAGAGTCTCTGCCCTGGTCCTTTTTTGGTATCACCACTTCCAGGGAGCTCTCCTGATACCTCTTGGCCAGGATGGGGCCCTTCCTCCAAATGCCTGCAAAAGTGCTCTGTGCCACCCTCTCCCACACTTCTCACCACCTTGCCTCTTGGTTCTGGAGCCAGTAACATTCTCACCCATGCTTTGGCTCACAGCAAGCTCAAACCCACATTTTCAGTCTACTCTAGATGACTTCCAAGTCTTTATGGCAAAGAGATTGAAATCCTGTCCTTTAATCTTATTTTAAGATTATTCAGCAATATTCATATTGTATTTTCTTACCCTTAATTTATTTCTGCCCTTATTTCCTCATCTGTTTTGTGTGTTTGTTATGCAAATTATCACACATCCTTTGTGAGATGAAGCAGCAGTAAGCAAGTCACTGAAGGCCTGGGGGAAGATACAAACATCATCTGCTGACAGTAGGCCATATACTCCAGATAGCCTTGATCTCCCCTGCTCCTGCTCCTCACTTCTCTAATGGTGACACCACATTCTCCTGTGGCTGGAGGTGCATTGAATAACTTTCTCAGCTTCTCAGCTGCACATCAGATTTGCAGTTACTGTTTGGTTTTCCATGGCTGTTTTCCAAACTCTAGGGTGAGACAGACCAACAAGCTGTTCTGGAAGGAGACAGCGGAGTGAGCAAGGGGCTTGCTGTCCCCTGGGGTGGTGCTACAGGACCAGCCCAAAGTGTCCACTGCACTGAAGAAGCAGCCTCTCAACAGCCACCAGAGCAGGTGAGCAGTGCAGTGGCTTGAACATTTCAGATGGGATCCCGCTAGCAGACACAGGTGGGGTAAGCAGAGCCTAAAAGCAGCAAGTGAGTAGCTTCCAGCCTAATCCTGGACAGAGTGGGGCCTAGATTCCTCCATGGACCTGAACAAAACCTCTGCAATGTTGTTTCCCAGCAGCCATCATGGTGTGAAACCAATGTCATTAAGATTATCCAACAGACTCCCTAACTCTAGTTTTATGCCCACTAAGCATCCTTCCAGTTTTAAATTGGCTCTTCATGTCACGTGCAACAGGGAGAGTGCATCCAAAAAAAGGAGGCCAGCTGACTATTTCCCTTGGCCGCCATCTTTTTTATTAATAAACAAACTTTACACACACACACACACACACACACACACACACGTGCGTGCATGCGGTGCTTCTTGCCACTCCTGACCCCCATCCACTGTGAAGGGGATAGTGAGAGTTATCAGTTCCATCTCCTGAGTGTGAATTAAGCCAAATAGCAGGGAAGTCTCAATGGTCCCTCTCAGTAAATCAGAGCTCAACAGAATCAGGTCAGAGCTGGAAGGATGCCGAGAACCCATTGCAAGTAATGACTCCTGCCCCAAGGTTTGCAGAAGTAACACTGGGGTCTGTGAATTCTTGGCAAAAACTCAAGAAAGCTAAGGGAATCCACACATTAGCCAGTAATGAGGCCACACAGACTAACTAAAGCAACAGCCACCTCATTAAACTGGGAAGCTTACTACTGTTTTTATTGCACAGTCACTTCTAAATATCTTTTATTAATAAAATTGGGGAAATGAGTTTGTTATTCCTTAATAAATGCAGTGTGTTTGGTTGATGAAATCTTTACAAGATGGGGATCAATAAGTGCTGAGAATACTAAAAGATATCCTTGTTCTACAGGGTTGAAAACCCCTGAGGTACCATCCCATACCTACCATTTTACAAAAGAAGATGTGATACATGTAAGTACCAATTCCTTAAGTGAATGCAATTTTATGTATCACAAACATATACTAATAAAAAAAGAAACTAAAAGGTAAAGATAAGGAGGAGGAAGAGGAAACAACCAGGCAGCCAAAAAAAAAAAAAACATTCTTTTTCACAAGCTTCACATTTTACTTAATCTCTTAAATTATTCTATTCCCAAGGCTATGGCAGCTTGAGTATGAGGAATAATCTGTCTAGAGCCTGTTTGTTTGCCTTGTCTCCTAATTTACTCAACTCTCCATGAATGAGAGTATGAAATTTTCATCGGTTCACCTGCTAATTTTGACAGGAGAAAGAAGAGGTTCAATATTTTGAAAAGAGAAGAGGGATGGGGGAAAGCACGTCTATTACATCAATAGTTTCTCCACATTATTCGATCTTCACAAAAATCCCAATAAGAAGGTATAATTTTCCCTTTTACAGACAAGAAATTTAACATTTGGAGAGGTTAAGAGATTAGCCAAAGGAACATAAGCTTAGAAGTAAATTCCAGTCTAAAGTTTATGTCCTGGCTCATTCCACTACTGCTCTGTAATGGTAACTGGGTTCAGCACCATGGACAGCAACAGAGCTTCTACAGTCTTCTGGGTGCTGGCGATGGGGCTGGAGAGAGTGGAAAGGTAGTGCTGATTTCCTGGGAAGAGATGTTTCTACAGAAATGCCTGACTGAATAGGAATAGGATGAGGGCAAGGAAAGACACATCATGGTAATTTCTTTACATCTGTATCAAACTGCTATTTTAGAATCATTTTCTATCCTCCTGCCAATTGCATAAGATAGGACAAGTATTGTATAATGACATTCCCAGACTGCCACCCACAGTTTGTGTAAGGCACGAATGACTCAATAGATGGGAAAGTTATCTGTAATTCATAAAAGACACTTTCAAGGAAACCACTATAACAAACCCCAAATCTCAGTGCCTTAACAGAATAGAAGCTTGTTTCTTCTTGTTTATTATGAAGCTTTCCTCCAAGAATGACACTGGTACCTGGTGCCTTTCTTCTAGTAGCTCTGTCACCTTCTAATATGATCTGGACACCAATCCAGAAGAGGAAAAATCACAGATACCCGGGGAGATATTCATCAGCTGAGTTTGGCATGACACAAATCACTTCAGCTCACATTTTGTTGGTTAGAACCCAGCCCATGGCCATGCATAGCTGTAAAGAGGGGAGCTAGGGGCATTGTCTAGCTGTGAGTACAGGAAGATGAAGAATGAGTCTTGGTGAAGACAAAGCAGCTTCTCCCACCTGAAAAAAGCTGAGAAACTGTCACAATCACAGTGAGTGTGAGTTCCGTTTGAGAGCTTGAGAGTGGGAACAAATTAAGGCCCAACCATGGAAAGCATCTCAATCCCTACACTTGTGCTGGATGCAACAGGCCTGAGCTGTCCTTCCCTTGGCTGTCTTGGATTTTCTATCTGGGCTTCCTCCATGACACAAAATCTGGGGAAAGGATCACAAGAGGGAGCTGTTAGTCATTAGGTTCCCCTGGAGTCTGTCTACATATAATGATATTGATAGATAGATTGGAATTTAGCTATAGATAGATCTCCACAATACTGAACATTCTAATTCACCTACCCAGGACAAATTCCTCTGGGGGTGGGTTTTTGACAGAGGAATTGGGATTCTTTCAGTTGTAAGTGACAGAAATCCACATCACATGGTCTTAAGTGAGAAAGGAAATGTATTGGTTTGGGGGAGTGCAGGGGAAGGTCTCCTTTCAGGCACAGCCCCATGTAGACTTCAGCAGTTTTGTCAGGATGTCTGGGCTCTCTGTCTCTATGCTCTGATATACACAGAGGCTCCATTTCCAGGCAGGCTCCCTTCATGGATCAAAGTGGCTGTTGGCAGCTGCAGGCACACCTTTTTCTTTCTTTTAATCAGCAACACCAAGAGAATGTTTCTTTCTTGGTAAAAACCCCATGGTGAATGCTTTAGGCACTAATATCCTGGCCTGGGTCATTTGCTATATTGGTTCAGTTTCGGGTTCTCTAATGGTGCAGAAGGCAATCTTTTAGCTAGGCCTATAAAATCAGAGATGGGAAAGTCCACAGTGGCTGTGTGCACAATGGAGAGCTGAAGGGTACAATAGCTGCTTAGTCCAGGAAGCTGAAAGCTGTGGAAAAGAGGCTCAAGGATGTAGCATCTGTCCAAGATGATGGAAGCTCCCTGCAATGTCTGGTGTGAATCTCTGCCAAAAGATAGAATCAACCGGAGTCTGATGCCCACAGGCAACGGCAGTAGCAAAAGATGCCCTCATTCAAGAAGAATGAAGTTTTTCAAACACAGGCTGACCTTTCCCTTTCATTCTGTCCAGGGTACTTTATTGGTTGGTGCCACCCACAATTGGAATGGGTCTTCCCCACTTCAGTTTGCAGGCATACATGCCAGTCATCTCTGGAAACACCCCAGAGACATTGCTAGAAGAAAGCTAATCTGCTAGGCATTTCTGGAATCCAACAAATTAGGCACATCATGATTAATGGTGACAGAACCCAAGAACTTTAGAAGGATCATGGGCACTAGAGTCAGCCTGCTTTGGGATGAACCTCAGCTCTGCTACTCAGGCTATGACCCTGGGCATGGAGCTTACTTTCTCTTCCTGATCCTCAGCCTGCATGTGTACAGAGGGTTTGCTCTGAGGATGAAATGAGACTAGGCAGGGAATGTGCTGTTTCTGACACCCAGAAGTGCCCACCTGCACCTGGGACAGATAGTGGGTCTTCATTTGGGGCCTGCAGAGCTTCCACTCACCCCACAACTAATATGGTGCCCAGAAGCTCAAGGAAATGCTCCCACTTTGCTTCTTCCCCGTCCCCTATAGCTCCCCATACTACCTCCCTGTGGCTCTCCTGATGCCCTGGAAACCAAATGCTGCTGACCCTCTTCCCTGCTCTCTGGTGGCAGCAAGACCACAACATTTCCACCCACATGAGCATCTTTCCTTCTCTCCCTTGGGACATTGTGGCTTCCCACCACCACTTTCAGCCACCAAACCACAAGAAGATAGTCACAACGTCCCCTCTGTTTGCTGACTTTCCTTAAGGTCACCCTTTGTGATATGTCACCAAGAGCGAACAAATCTTCACTGTGTCCATTCTATCAAAACTTGTTTCTATATGCATCTGTCATCACTGATTGCATTTGAATGGTCTTGGTCTCTATTTTAAATAAAAGATTTATGCCTTAGCTGTCAGAGCCTGCCTTTATTTGAAAATTTAATCTTGTTTCTAGGAGTCTAGATTAACTTATTAGATTTAGGTATCCCTCGTGTGTCTCTGAGAGAGAGAAGGAGCAGAATCTCCTCTCTGCATGCAGCCCTTCTTGGTGGAAGCCAAGAGCCAGGCCTCACCACCCAGCACACCAAGGTTGGACAGAGGCACCATCCTGGAAGCTGCATTTGGTAACCATGGATCCAAGGAGCCTCTCTCTGGGTCTGCAGGACTGGGGGTCAGCTCCCAGACACTTAGCCCAGGGGCCTATGTTCATTGCAAGGTCCTCCATCAAACACACAAACCTTTCTCCAGCATTCCATGGAGTTTTCAGAAAAGACCCCCAGTAGGAGACAAATTTGCCAACATGTCTGTGCCAAGGAGCTCTGAGCCCCCCTTACCTATACTGCGTCTTCTATGTCTCACAGAGCTCTTGTGCTGATTAGACCACAGGGTGAGGAGACTTGGTTTCAGCTCCACTGTGTGACCTTGTCCAGGCCACTTAATTTCTCTGACCTCATCCGAAGTCTCCTCATCTGGAGGATAGAAGTGATGTGAATGCCCACCACATAGGACTGGTGTGTTTCACTTATTGAGAAAACAGGGGATATCTTTGTTTTCTGCTACTATAACAGAATATCACAGATTGGGTGGTTTATATATAATAGAAATGTTTGGCTCATAGCTCTAGAGGCTACAGAGTCCAAGGGCTTTGCACAAGCAGCTAGTCAGGACCTTTACAGTGATATCACATGGCCCACATCCAGCCTCCAAGCTGTGACACCTCCTGTCAGTAGGGCCCCTCCCACAACCTTCCCACAAGCCACTGCAGAGAAAGCAGCCTTCATGCATTCATGAGGGCAGGGCCCTGAGGACCCAATCTCCTCTCAAGAGCCCTGCCTCTTGACACTGTTGCAATGGCAGATGAGTTTCAACATGAGTTTTGAAGGAGATATTCAAAGCATAGCAGGGCAAATGCTCAAGAGTTGTCCCCTACAAGTTTGTCACCACACTAGTTGGTCTGGAAACCACTAACTCCTTCAGAGATCAGGACATAGTGGCTCAAAGGCAGAAGTGATGTCGCAGGATCACAATAAAGTCAATGGCAAAGCTGGATCAGAACCAGGAACCCTGATATCCAACCCAATGCCACTAGCTTTCTCATCTCTTCTCTTCCTCCTCTTCCTCCTTTCTCTCTCTCTTCTCTCTCTCTCTCCCTCTCTCTCCTTTCGCTCTCCCCTCCCACCCCCATCTTTGTCTTTCTCTGCTACGAGGACAATTATGCCCCCATTCATATTTTGAAACTCTAAACCTCCCACGTGAGAAGACAGTGTGTGTATTTGGAGAGTCTTTAGGACACAGCTAAGGTTAAATGGGATTGGAAATCCTAATCCAATAGGATATCAGTCCTTTTAAGAAGAGGAAGAGAGAGGCCCCTCTCTGCCCAGGATAAAACCTACCTTGTCTTGCCAGTGGTTTGACCTTGGACTTGGACTTCGGCCTCCAGAATTGTGATAAATACACCTCAGTTGTTTAAGCCATTGAGTCTATGGTTTTTTGTTATGACAGCTCGGACCAGTATTCCATCTCCTTCGCTCCTCACCACCCCCCAGCAGTCCCTGACTTTCCCGTTCCACTCGCGCCATCTGCTGGACATACTCGGGATAGCAGGCACGGTCCACACCTCAAGAGATACCTCCTGTAAGACCCCCAAACCAAGACAGCCCCTTCTCAGACACGCAGGCACGGACTCACACACACGCACCCACGCACACGCACTCACGCACACACAGACACACACGCACGTGCACAAAGCCTAGGGTGACAGCTGAGATGTCTCACCGCCCCAGTTTGCCCTGTCTCATATCAAATATCCCCCACATACCTCAATTCCTGACCTGAAACCTTATTTTGGGGCATATGCTTCTTAAAGCCAGGGCCTCAAAGGACCCGTCTGTTTGTAACCCTCACTTCCAGATGCTCTCTCCACAGATGGAACGTGAGAGGCACTCACCAAGGGTTCATGGAGTGACTAAGAGACCACACTTCCCTACCAATGTGTTAATTGGGCATCACCCCAGGGGCCCTGAGCTCCAAGGTGTAAGCACCCTGCTGGTGGAAGCCCAGCTTGCACACACAGGACGGTGTGCTTGTGCCTGGGTGACACTCATGCCCCGCCCCCAGCAGCCAGCCTCCCGGTCAGGCCAGGCTAAGAGGTAACTGATCAGGAGCTCGTCTTCCATCTCAGAATGGCCTCAAACTGAGCTCTGCAGAACGACTCTGAGCAAGGACATCCATTTCTTGCTTTGTCACTTGGCAAAACAACTCAAAGGAAAAGAAGGCACAGTGACTGTTCCCATAATTCAGTGGCCTGGGCCTCTGGAGGAACTGTTACCTGATGGGACTAATTAAGATGACTCTATCTAAAAGGAGAGGCAACCCCAGCTCCAGCTTTTTGACCTGCAGGCTCCGCTATCTCTCCAGTTCCTAAATCAGTCCCGACGAGGCTCCTGGCCCTGCACACTCAGCACAGGCTCAGTTCATCCTCTGTAGTCCAACCAAGGGGGAGGAGACCAAGGCCACAGTCTGGGCGCAGCATTCGAAGGGCTGTCATGAGGGCCTTTCCCACCTCCCTTTGCTTCAGGCTCTCTGGCTGCTCAGCGCTTCAGCATTGCTGATCTTGTCTTTATTTGAAATTTTAATATTTTATTGGTTGTGACATTTTGGTATAAATTTTAACTTCTCAATGTAAAAATATTGCATTAATGAGTTCAATCCCCAGCACCCAAATAAATTTGCATTAATGAAAACAAGAACTCAAACACATCATTTAAATACCCATGTTCGTAGCAGCATTCATCACAATCGCCAGAAGGTGGAAGTAAAGCTTGTCCATCAGTGGGTGAATGGAGAAGCAAAATGTAGTGCAACGAAATATTGTTCAGCCTTTAAAAGGGAGGAAATTCTGACACATGTGACAACATTCAAGGAACCCTGATTCATTATGCAAAGTGAATTAAGCCAGCCACAAAATGACACAGACAGTGTGAGTCCACCTGCTGTAGTTTGGCCCTGAGGTGTCTCCCGAGGCCCACGTATTGATAGCCTGGTGACCAGACTGGCACTAGAGGGAGGTGGTGGAAACTTTGGGAGGTGAGGTGATGGGGGTGGAGGGGACATTGGGGCCCCACCACCTCCTTCCCACCAGGATGGACGCTGCCCTCACAGGGCCAGGGCAACAGGGACAAGTGACCATGGCCTGAGACCATGAGCCAAAGTAAACCTTTCCTCCTCCTGAGCTGATTCAGCACAGGCGTTTGTCACAGTGATGGAACATTGACACACACACTTCCCTGGGCACTGCAGCAATCAGATGGCTAGAAACGGAAAGTGGCTTCCAAGGACTGGGGGAGCACGGAAAGGGACTGAGTGTTTGATGAGGACAGACTTTCAGTTGGGAAAGATGAAAATATTTTTGCTGACGGATGGTGGTAATAGTTGTATAACAACATGAACGACTCTGACCAGCATCACCCTAAAAAACTACAGGTGAACCAGAGACCCAAAAGCCAAGCCTCCAGCTCCAGGCTAAGGGCTTCGTCCAAGAAAGCTCCTCTGCCCGCTTCCTCGTCATCCCCAAGATGCAACACTACTGTCCTGGAGACTGCTGTGCCCCGGATGGAGCCTCAACCCACAGGAAAGTGTCTGAGTGGACCCCGAAATCCCAGGGCTCCAAGCTGTCTCCCATGAAGATGGGCTTCACATCTGATCTTGCAGAAAAACCTAAGACAAGGCTGTTGTTTGGTAGGTGGGGTCAGCAAAAACAGGTCAAGTCCAATTTTTGACTTATGTAGCAGGGAGTGGCTGCTACTTGTTCCCCATCATCTGTCCAACCTCTTCCCTCAGTCACAGAGCCTAAAGATTTAGCTGGGCCCTGGCTGCCTAGAATGAAGTCCTCATTCCTTGGCTTCTCTTGCTAGCTGGGTGTGTCCATGGAACTTAGATCTATCTGGCCTAAAACCCAGAAGCTGAAGTGTCACATGGAGCTTTGGCGAGATGTCCTTATAGAGCGCACATGCCTGGCAGGGACACAGACAGACCACAACCACCACCAGCACCCTGCAGGAGGGGACAGCCAGACCCAGCCACACCCACACTGTCACCCTGAGGTCTGGCTCACAGCCTCCAGAAATGGGACAAATAAATGCTTGTTGTTCAAGCCACCAGGTTTCCAAAATTTTTGTTAGATTGCCCTAAACTGCCTGGCATACTTGCACACACCTGTAACCCCAGTACTTGGGAGGTTGAGGCAGGAGGATCACAAGTTCAAGGCCAGCCTGGACTACTTAGAAAGACTTTGTCTAAAAAAAAAAAAAAAGCAAAAGAAGTATAACAAATGGACACTTAATTTGTATTATCTGGTGAATGAATGACTGATGCTGTTAAAACTAGAAGCTCCCCCAAATCAACAAGGGTCTCTCAGCCCTGGGTCTTACCTTTATTTCCAGAGATTGCAGCTGAGAAATTGGTCCTGTGGGCTCTTTTATGAAGAATGTGTCTTGAGTCTGCCTCGGCCTCCATAGCCACATCACTGCCCTTCTCCAGACTCCCCTACCCCTTCACCCCACAGCCACGTTGGCCCTCAGCCTTCCAGGCACCCCAAGTCCACCCCTTCTGCGGACTGCTCAGTCATGTCTCCACTCAGGCTCAGGAGAAATGACAGGGTACTGGGAAGGTTCCCAGAGCGGCCTCTTGAGCAGAGATGCAGGAAAAGGCCCCTGCCCCAAGGACAGATGGAGAGGCTGGACCGAGGGAGGGGTGCGAGGACAGTGGCCTCTGTGGATGGGCAGATGCTGAGACCACCCCTCCTAAACTGTGATCAGAGTCAAGCAGGTTCATTTCCAAAGCACTTTCTGTGCACTGCCTCCTCATCCTCAGTGAGGAGACACAGCCAGAGACTCCGGGGAGTTTGCCCAA